GCTGGACATTGAACATGGCATGTGCTGTAAATAAACATGTCAACAACTCCATATTTAGAGACCGAGGATTGCTTGATTGTGTCGAGAGATGGGATATGGAGCGGAAGGATCTGTCGGGAAGAAGACTAGAATGGCCTTCGGTGTTTCAGTCGCCATTGTTGCGAGGGATCCAGGAAGACAGAAAGGCCAGAAAGGTCAAGCCACATGCCAACACATGTGCCTGCTGTCGACCCCGGACATTTCTGTTCGTCGGCGGTTCGAGATGCCGATCAGCGGGTAGATTAAGAAGTATTGGACGGCTTCTGCTGGGCGTATTCGAATAGGCGGAAAGGGAGAATGCAAAGCGGCCTTGGGCTTCCGACCGCCGGGCGAGTCGGCGAATATTACTCGGCGTCGCAAGCTTGCCAGTTGTTGGTCTCGTGAACGTCTTCAAAATACCCATGTACGTCTACCCCTCAAGGATGATAAGATAAGACGAGCGGGCCCTGCCACGTTCGACGACAGCACTAGTAGCGGTAGTGTCGATAGCGGTACCAGGATCGCGAGTCCGGAACAGCTATTCGTATTCAGTTGTTCATCCCGTTGCTTGCCCAGGACATACGAGATGTGGCCACAGACACCCTGTACGTGAACAAGATACGACGTTGAAGGAGTGAAAGAAGACAGACAATGCCGGGCGGCATGTTCAGTCGCAGTTCTACCCCGGCCGTGTAAGTGTCCTTGACTTGCGGGCTGTATCCGCCGTATCTTGTCCGGCTGGGGACATCGTCGAGGCTCTCACAACGCCCTAGTTGACGGCCAGTGATACTGCTCCCAAGAAACTGGATGCAGTGGCTGCAGCAGGTCAGATCCAATATGGTAGGAGGTCGGGTCGCACGGCGCTAGTCTGGGCGGCACCGCTTCTCGCGAAGTTGCAGCTGGTTTGGTTTGATACCGCACCTGCCAGTTTTCGTTTCCCCCATCTCTCAGAACTCAACTTTTAGTTTGGGATCAGGCCAGTGGGTGCACCGGTTCGGCAGAAGGAGGCGCAAGTCTAGAAAGCCGTTTACCATCCGGAGCCGAGCCTGGATTTTGTTTAGGACACGACCAGCAGGCCTGAGTGGCACACTGGTCATGCCAAAGCCCTGCGGCTGCACAACTCGGTCCAGCGGTGGCCCTCTCTCTCATCAGCGAGGCCAGCTTCTCGGTGACGGTCGTCGCAGACTCACACCGCGAGTACGGGACGGTCGTCGCGGATTGACCCAATGGGATTGTCAACGCTGGAATCTTTTTAGGATCGGGAATAAAGGTGCCCGGGTCATGGCAAATGCGGAGGCCCCGAGGGGATTCGGACTGCACAGGAGTTGGGTGATGAGGGCGAGGTTATTCCTTGCAGACATCGCCCAAGCAATGACTTCGGGCCGGTAAGGGGTCGCAGGAGGCTTAATCCTTCCATTAAAAGCAACTTTGTCTTATGCTTGACTTGATGCTAGCCTTTGTTTGCACGTCACTGCAGCCCGTCAAGAAGTGTAAAAGAGCAGACGAGACAAGTGAGGCGTACCCGGGAAGTGGTGGCTGCTGAGGGAGGGACGGTTCATCGCAGTGTTTGGAGCGCGATGCACTCCATAGCTTGTGGAGGCTGCGATGATGGCGAATACTAGGCTGCTGGCGGAATAGCATGTGGGGGAGGACGTTGGGCGTGGATGCGCAAGATGAAAGGAGAGGGCGGTAGCGACGAGGTGCTACTGGCGACTGGCGATTCCAACGAGACCCCAAGCGCTGACACGCAAGTCAGTCGTCCATCCATCGCCAACCATTTTCGTAGCGGGTTACGAACGAAGAGCAGGTCGGGGCACGGCGGGCTGGGATGATTGCTGCAGGCCGCGGTCGTGCAGGAGCCATGATCCATGGGGCCATGCGACAGTCTTGCCAGTGCAGCGCCATGCGGTGCCTTGCCTTGTCATTGCATGTAGTCTGTAGAGGGCAGGGCGATGCGGACTCTCTAGCTGATACGGCGGAGATGGTGTTCGTTGGTACCAGGCACCCAGGTAGACAGACACCAAGTAAGGTATTGGTGGTGATGGTGGTAATGATGGGTAATGCGTCCTTGCCCGGCTGGTGTAAGTCTATTTTGGCTGCGCTGGGTGGCGCATGTCTTCCGCATCGTCCACACATAGTCCAAGGCAGCTAGTCAAACGTGAGTTGGTTGGTGAATGGTGCATCGTAGAATAGCCGGCGTCCGGGAGTTGTAACGGGACGCTACGGGATGCATCTTGATGAACGAAGCCGGGCTGTCTTTTCGTCGACGCAGGCGTTGGCAATAGAGGCAAAGACGAGCAGGCAGGATAAGTACGAAGGTGATCCGAGGTAAGGCAGTTACAGGTTGGATCTGTCTGCCTTCCTCCTCGTTCCTTCCTTTGGAGGCAGACGTCTCCTTCCGTGTTGCCAGTCCTGCTCCTACCGTGCCTGACTGGAAGGAAGGCACTTCCACGTGTCTTGCCTCCTGCCGTCCTGTGTTCGGCAACTGCCCATCCGCATCGTGGTTCCTTCTTGCAAGCAACCAGCGTGAGCCCGCTTACACAATTGGAAGTGAAGTCGCAGTGGGCAGTCGATGATCTGCATCCAGCACTCTGCGTCTGCGTCGTCCAACTCTCCGCCGTCACTCTCGCTGTTGCTTATTGCTTATTCCTGACTCGCACCGGGATTTCAATCCCCAAGCACGCTGCACACGCCCCGGCCAGCAATGGAACAGTCGCTCGCTGCTGCTGAGTCTACATACGGCAACGGATACCATTGGCACTTAAAAGTCACCTCATCTCGCCAAATTCCAAACCACCGCTGACGTATCACCTCGCATGCCGGATACCTTACTTCGCCTGGCACGGTGTGTGGATGTTCAGTCTCACCACACCCCGCCCCTTCTTTGGCTAATGTTCATCAGCATCATCAGCATCATCAGCCAGCCAGCCAGCAGTGAGCCATTACAGCTTTGACGATTGGCCTGCCAGCGATCACACGCAAAGACACGCTGCTCTGTTGCAGATCCGGCGGCAGCGACCCATCGATCCGGGTCGGAAACAGACCAAGAAACACGGAGATAGCCCTTCGGTTCAGAACGGCACGACGGGACCCTTTGCCTTGGACGCGGTCCCTTTGACTCTGGTCTACCCGTGTGATGAAGCGGCGCAGGGCCAGTCCAGTCCAGCTCAGTCCATCCCGACGACATTTGACCGTTTTCGGAGCCTCGCAACACGGTGTCATCGGCATTGCCTAGGCGCCCATTTGGCGCAGGCACAGGCCAGCGCCCATACTTCACTTGCCAGCAGCAGCAGCTACATCCCGTCTTGTACAAAGTACGGAGACACTACGCAGCACCGGTGGCTTTGAACCTCGGGATTGCAGAGCGCCCAGTGTCTCGTCTCGCCCTGGACCCCGACCCCCGACGACCCCGTCCTCACACGCCGCCAGGGTTCCATCAGCGTTGCCTCGCCCCATCCGATCACCCAGTGACTTGCTTCAGCGGTACTACACCTCAGTCAATACGTAAGGCACCGCGGTTGGCACGGCTAACTCACGCAGTCGTGTTGCTGCCTTTTTCCCATCATGACAGGGAAACAAGCCCACTGTTCCGGCTGCACAAAGGGCCGCCTCTTCTGACACCTCACCTCATACGGGCCCTGTTTATTACCCAAAGCCTTGATTATCGTTCTCCATTTGTTGACCTCAACCAGCACATACGGTACGGTACATCGGTACCAACCTGCATGTCCGTTTCCATTCCCGTACTTGACACTGAAGGTCTGGCCTCTCTGTCTCTCTGCCCAAATCTCTCCGTTGCCTCATCGCTCATTTGTTCCACGGGGTTCTGCAAGCGGCGGAAAAGGAAACGGCCTCCTTAGCACAGCGTGGCAGGTAGGAATGGATGCTACTACTGCGTAGACACCGTGGACACGGCGGTCCGTAGGTAGTGTAGAGAATGGCTAATGGTCTGGCCGTGCATTGCAGATTGCAGATTGCTGCGCAGCACACGCAGTCGGGTACAGCTTGCATCGGAGCCTTCACCTTTACCGCCCTCATTGGAGAGGAGAGGCTCTTAGCAAGCACCGCACCGCACCGCACCGCACTGGGCAGGTTCACTTGAATGAAGGTGGGCTCTGTGGTCACGCCTCCCGTCCGAGTTGTGTGTTTAATCAATCCTGCATTGGCGCCGCCGATGGGCCTGAAGTGCCCTGCATGAGTGTTGGCCATACCCGTTTGAAGAGGGTCGTCGGATGCTGAGTGTACCAACTGTGTGAGAAGCTGCCAATGGATGTGGCTCCTCTGCAGTAGTAGGTAACATGGAACCCAACACACCCGCAAATCCATCATCTGGTGCATCCCGCCCACCACCACCACCACATCCACCACATCCACCGTCCGCTACAGACGGGAACCTACTAGTGCACGCAGCACACTATGTACGGATAGTGCTGTTCTGCGTAAATACTCAATGGAAGGTAGGGGCGTGCGACTTCCAAACAGAAGGCACCACACGCCCCCCTCCTTCCCTCCTACCCCCCGTCTCAAGCTCCACCAGCCACCTTGTCCCCTGCTCCACGCCGCTGTTCCTTGTCTTGTTGTCTTGTCATTGTGAGCGCTTCTCCCGCCTTCGACCTGGGCCTGGCTTGCCTGGACCTGGACCCGGCTTTGCTTATTAGATCACCACTGACCGACTGACACAATTCACCTCCAGCCAACTTCTGCCTCTGCCTTTATTACTCACCACCGCTTCCACTTCATTCTCTCTTCCTATCTTCTTCTCTCCTCACCTCACATTACATCCTTCGATACTCCCATCTGTCCCGCCTCGGAGTCCACTCGTCCTCGTCTTCCAGCGAGCTCGGCCGTCGACAACCTCATTCAGCCTTCCCTTGGACGCACACAAGACTCTTCTTGCCTCCTCCAGACAGCGTCGCATTGCTCGTCTGACAACAGACCGCCTGACAATACAACCCACGTCACCAACACCACAACCACCCAACATGCCTCAGAAGAAGATCCGCTGCACCTTCAAGGAGTGCAAGGACGCTGCCCAGCGCATCGTCGGAGACTGCGGCTTCTGCAACGGTCACTTCTGCGGAAAGCACCGTCTCCTCGAGGACCACAAGTGCGATGGCTTGGAAGACGTAAGTTACACCTATGATCCCGAGTGTTCCTGGCTCCTCGGCCTCGGCACCGTCCTACGAGATCAAGATCTGTTGAGCTAACTTGCCTTGAAACGCAGTGCAAGAAGCAGTCTCACGAGCGCAATGCTGCACAGCTCGAGGCCGAGCGCACCCAGGTCATCCGCGGTGTATGAGGAAACTCTACCACGCCACATCCTGTCTTCCCATCTCCACGCCGAAACGGCCGTCCGCGCGACCTCACATCCCGTCGAGATGCGGCTTACCGATCCACCACCCAAACAGCCGGGAACATACAGCTCGGATTCTACCGCAAGCTGAAGGGCCCGGCGTGCGAGGCGGACTACAGCACCAACACCTTCCAAATGCACGTCCCCCTTCACACTTTGGGACCTCTGCGCGATATGATGGATTCTTTTCGATACAGTTCCGGCGAATCTCGATATGATGTTTGCCATCATAATGCAGAAAGCAGTAGTAGCGACGGCGGCGTTGTTTGTCGGCACTCGCGCATCTCGATCCGAGGCGTCTTTTGTTCGCCTCGACTCTTTTTTTTTTACACGACGAAGTGTACCATTATCTAGCTTAGGATAGTTCGGCTTCCACTTTCTCCCGCACGGCGTATCGGCGCATGGTCATTTTTTACGGCCGCCATGGAGAGGATTGGCCGTCAACTTTGGATCTATTCAAATTACATTTCATTTGAAACTTCACTTGCAATTTTCCCTTTCTACATTGATGAAATTATGATGACTCTGATTCAGTTTTGCCCGAACAGGTGCCTTGGAGGCTGCGTTTAGTTGAGGTCCGGGCAGCGGAGATGCCGTGGCTGAGCTGGGATTCATGGAGTATGGTTCAGCGTTGCGCATCGGAGAGTTACCGCCATTTCAGCCGAATGAGACACGGACGAACATTCCACGTCAAACGGACCATGCCCCTCGAAACCTTCAGCACAAGTCAGTTCGGTGCTACTGCGGCAGCAAAACGTCTTCATTTGGACTGGCTCTGTCGTCTCCTTGTTCCAACCACCAGCTTTTTTCCCCTTTGCCGTTCTCATGTCGTCTCATTGCTGGGAGGATCAGCCGTGGCACGCCATGCTTCACCTGCCCGTTTTCGTCGTCCTCTGACCATGCGAGTCAGTACCCGCCCAAACCGCCCTCGTCTTCGCCTCCGCCTCTGCCCGCCTACGCCGCGTCCACGTCACACTGTGAAGATGGCCCCCGGAAGCCTGACGATGACGGCATACTCCACGGGACACGGGGCGCTGCTGGCGGGCGAATGCCGGCGTATCTCCGATATCGTATCTGCTGCTTCGCTATTCATTTCGCCCCCTCTTCCACCGCCTTCTCCGTCCGCTGCACAGCGCACCTTGGCTACCTTTTTTCAATGACACCGCCCCCAGGCATGCATTGCACTTCCGCTGCACCCTCGAAATCGGAATTCCTCCGAACTTTTCGGGCCCGCTCTCCACCGATGCCCGAAGCGAGGCAGGCAAGCCCCGGGCACCTCGGTCGGATATGACTGCCGTCGTCCCAAGAGTCATTCATTGGACCTGCTGCATCCCCTGGGCTGACGCGCGCAAGTGTAGCAAGATGATGATTACGGAAACACGCTGAGCTCGCTGACTTGATTCACAGGCGATCCCTCGTTATCGGATCATGTTCACACGCCTTCAAACTACTTTTCCGCGCCTCCTTTTCGGCGCTCCCGCTCCGACCAGCTCAGTCGCTTCCGGCGCTACCTCCGGCACCGGCACGCCTGTCGGTTCTACGATCTCCTTCTTCACGACTTCCTCGACAATCTCCTCCGTCTTGATGACTGTATCGTCTCCGACTTCGATCTTGACCTCCCTCGCTTTGCGACCCTCGGTTACCTTCTTCCTCTCCGCCGCCTTACACAAGCCCTTCAATCCGAGCTGGCAATCTCCGCACTTTCTCCCGACGGGCAAGCAAACAGTCTGTCCGAGGCCGACAAGCAGCCAGTTAATTTCACGCCATTTGTCCTTCGGGAGCCAACTCTGTAACGCCATTCTCGTCCCTTCAGGCTGCGTTGTCTTGTGCCAGCCCCAGAGGTTGGTAATGCGGTGCACGTGGACGTCCACGCCAATACCCTCCGTCTTGTCCCACGCAGCCGAGAGACACAGATATCCCATCTTCGGACCTACGCCCGGTAGAGAGGTCAACCCTTCTATCGTGTCGGGGACGTCGCCGTCGAACTTATCGCGAAGGATCTCGGCCGCGGCTTTGATATACCTAATCCCGTCAACATTGCTTAGAGAAGCATCACTCATGATTACTGACTTGGTCTTGTTATTGTGAAAGCCAACCGCCCAGATCAGCTCGTTCAACTTGTCAGGTTCCACGGCCAAGATATTTTCCAGACACAAACCACCCTCCGCACCCTCTCTATGCGGAGGCAGCTCCGTCATCAACCTCTTCATCGCTACGGCATTCACCGTGTCCTTGGTCTGGCTCGAAAGCATCAGCGCAATGAGGATGTGAAACCGCCTATCCCGCTCGGAAGCGTCGGGATGGAAAAGTCTCTCACAGCCCATCGTGTCCACGGCCGCGTCCTTCGCCGCGCCGTGGAGACGCATCTCCTTGACCTGGTTGTACATCTCCTCCCAGTCAGACGGGGGCTCCACGCGGATGTCCTCGCCTTTGATCACACGCGCCGGCTTCCTCTCCCTCTTGGGCTTTGTAGGTTTCGTAGATATGACATCGGCTTCTTCGGTCTCGATCTTGGTGGTGGCGCTCGGTGCGTCGTCCGCCGCCGCCACCCTCCTCCGTTTCCTGCGAGGCGGGCTCGTAACGGCATCCTCAATGTCGTTGCCGAGAACGATGTCCTGGAGCGAGGTGTCAGGCGCTGCGGAGCCGGTCGTGTAGGCGAACCGGGCGAGGGAGGAGCGCGTCGTGCGGCGCGGAGGTGGTGGCGAGGTGCTGGCTTTGAAGATGGCCGAGGTCTCCTTGGAGAGGCGCGACGTCCTCATCTTTGCTGAATGGTTCTTGTCCAATCTGTTGTGACTCTGACCTAGAGATTTCTGTGATGTCGATTAAAGAAATGCAGCCGGGTGCTATAATAATCTATCGAAACGTCGCTACAAGGCAAACGCGGAAGACGAACTGACTACGCAATTGACTTTTTTTCTTGTCCTGCCCTCCATAGAAGCTGAAAGCAAAGACTACCTAATTACATTGCCAGCCGTGCACGCACCCTGCCTCTTCTGCACTACGTAATCGCAAAAGGGGACTCCAGGGTTGGTTGATAAAGGTGGGTCACCGCGGCTGGGAGGACCCTTGAATGGGAACACTGATGCCCGGGGGTGGGAAGGGGGAGCTGCGTTGGGGATAGCGCGGGCCGGGGGATTGGGTTTGGTTTTTTTGGTGGTGGTCTGTGCTTCTCCATTGCGATGCCGGTAAGCGAGGCGGTTGATGGGGGCGTGGGAGGTAGGTAGGTTCCGTGGTTGAGTTCAGAGGTGAGTTGGGGCGCAGTGGGTGTGTGGTGATGGATCTTTTGGATGATGTTTATGGTTGCTATGATGTGATTTTATCGTTGCGTCTAGAGTTCAAGGCTGATGGAATAGGTATCCATTGTAAGTTGCAAGTGAAGGGGATGATGGGTGCAGGTTTGTTGGTGTAAGTTGGCGCCTCTGAAGAACGAGCTCGACGTGAGTAGAACAGACGATAGTGGTTGGTTTTCTCCCAGTTGCAAATCAAAGACGGTACTAAAAGATGGAATGCCAAAGTGCGGCTGAGAATCAAGTTTGCTGGCTTGATTTTAGTCTTGTTGCTTCGCATCCACGCTCGTCAGGCCACGGGTGTTTAAATCGCGATGATGAGATATTTGGAAGACACGGAGCAATTGCTCGGCTCGGATTACTTCTGGTTATTGGATTCTTGACCTCGAATGAATTGATGATTTCCTCATCCAGGTGAGGAGGGGACGTTATCGTTCCTGCATTGAGAGTTGCATATCGACCTTCTTGTGATTGAGCTGGGCTTATACGTCATGAATACACTTGCGATAGAAATGGGGGACGGTACAAGATAAAAATAAAGGCAAATGCATATGTTAAGGTAGAGATTTGACGACTGTCCGCAAGTCGCTTCGTTCTGTGACCTTTTCCTGTGTTCGAGAGGTAGACTAGATAGACATTTCGGGCTCATGGGAACGGTATCGTGCTTCGATGTGGGCGATATGTATAAAAGCGAGGGATCATTTCCCCGTTGTTGATTTCAGAGGGCAAGAATGTGTGGCTTGGTGTGAAGCTACTCGGACAGAAGCATGACCGTGAGATAAAGAGGCTATCTAAAGAGGATCTGGACGGTGCTAGTGGCTGGAAAACTGAGCATCATCGCCCGGCGTCTCTCTCTGGTTTCTTACTATTATGAATGAAGCAACTCAGGATGAGAAAAGTAGATTGAACACTTGGCCGCTCGAACAATGGCTGTAGTTACGATGCCTTATGATGCGCATGGCTGCTACACTTTACGACATTGCCCTGCGTCGGTATTCACAACTCATCTACCTGCTTAAATACAAATTCAGATTAATGCTACACGGAGTTAAGGTAGCAATTTGATGTTAGGTCCTAAGTCTCTGTGGGTTCGGTGACTATTGACTGACTGCTTGTTGTTGCGGCCAGAGTATCAGCTTTTCGCTAGAAATGATTTGACTCGGATGTCAATGGGCTCTATAAAAGCAAACTGAAGCATCGATTACCAAGTCGCAGGGCAATCAGGAGCCTGACTTCTTGTGTTGGAGTGGGAATACGAACAGCAGCACGGCGAATGTGATGGCTGTCTGAAGGATGTCACAGACGGGTCAAATTGTTGAGAAAGGTTCGGAATCATGCCTGGCGTCTCTCCCTAGTTTCTCACTATTCTAGATGAATCATCTCAGAATGACATAATACACTATGTCGAAGTAATGGATCGGGGGCATTGACTGGTCTTTTTTCGGGACTGAGACTCTGCTGCCAGCGCCAAAGATGATGCCCAGCACTACCGGTGGCTATTATTGCCCTTGCGTTATTAAGAGAAGGTAGTCCACTTCACGCTTATATAGTTGTTGCCGTGACCGGACAGTGTTTTCGTAAATGTAGATATATTACACGAAGTATTCTTATACAAAAAGGTCTTCGCCTCCCTGGGGAGTAGATATGTACCATAAATCAACGCCCCCAACTCCTAGTGTGACAGAACACCACCGAACCCGTCGTCAGATCGTAAACTCCTCATTCAGCCAGTGCTTCAACACCACCCGCCCCTCGTCAAACGTCTTCTTCTCCCACCTCACGATGATGGCCGCGTGACTGTGCCTGTCGTTGTGGATCCACACGGGGTACTTGTTCCACCCGACGGCGTCCAGGTTCTGGACCATCTGGAACTGGTACGGCGCGAGCGCGAGCGTCGGCTGCGAGGGCACCGACATGCGCCTCTCGCGCGCGAGCAGCTGCGTCGTGCTGCGGTCCATCTCGCGCGCGCCCGCGTCGTCCTCGTCGTCGTCGTCCGTCTCGCTGCCGAGGTACTCCTGGTCCTGCGAGCTGTTGAGCGTCTCGTACACGTGCTCGACCTCCTCGCGGATCTCCTTCATCCACAGCGGACCGCGGTACTCCTCGATGGCGACGCCCGCGAGCCCCTTCTCGTGCAGCTGGATGCGCTTCGAGGAGCGCACCGTCTGGATCGCCGAGTTGAAGAGGAAGGCGACGATGCCGATGGGCACGAAGACGGAGATGGCGAGGACGAAGGGGATGCGCTGGGCCCACGAGGCGACGGAGGACAGCGTCGGCCGGGAGCCGCCGGAGAGCTTGGGGCGCGGGGCGATGGGGTGCTTCGGGTCGAGGATGACGTCCTCGTAGCCCGGGACGTAGTTGACCTTGATGCCGTCGAGGTTCGTGTAGGGGTCCGTCTTGGTGATGCCGGTGGTGTAGTGGACGGCGCTCCTGTCGTTGACGATGTTGGTGTAGAGGGTGCGGCGCTTGAAGCGCTTGAGGCCGGCGAGGAAGATGGAGTCCGGGTCCGCGAGGACGGCGAGCAGGGGCCGACCCGTATCGCGGAAGTTGTCGATGGTGAAGAGCTGGCGGCCCGACATGGAGAGGGTGCGGGCGCCGAGGACGTTCCAGAGGTGGTTGTGCCAGCCGCGCAGGGGGGTGCGGACGCCGAGATGCGGTGTGGCGAAGGTGACGAAGTTCTGGAGCGGGAGTCAGTGATTTTGCGGTGAGAGTGAGAGTGTGGGTGTGGGTGAGTGGTGTTGTCGTGGGTGAGGGAGTGAGTGTGACATGAGAAACTCACCATGCACTCGACGGTGTCGAGGATGCCCTTTGAGTGAAGCAGCCCGACGGCGTAGCGCGAGACCAGGCCGCCGAGCGAGTAGCCCACGATGCTCAGCTTGGTGATCTTGCCGCCCCTTTCCTGGATGGCGCGCAGCTCCTCCTCAATCTCGGCGCAGACGCGCTCGCCGCCGCGCTCGATGCCATCGTAGGTGAAGGAGCCGCTGTTGTGCTTCGCGAGGAGCAGGTAGAGCTTGTCGGCGGAGTGTTTTGCGCGCAGGCTTTTGGCGATCTGGGCCATGTGGTTGGGGTTACCCCAAAGCTACATACAGGTTGCACGTTAGCATCAAGGTGCACCACACGCTGCAGCAGATCATGACGTCGCCACCACCAGCCAACGGGTTTGCAGGAGCCAGGAGCCAGGAGCCAGGAGCCAGGAGCCGCCCGGTGTAAACACTCAACCGCTGGGAATGGTGTGCTGGCAAGATAGAGCAGACGGGAAAAAAAGGATGGAGGAACGAACCCCGTGGACCAGTACGCAGAGATGATCGGCCTCCACGGTGCCGCCGGTGTAATCCATTATGTAGCTTGATGAGATCAGGGACCGGTCAATAGAGCGAAGGGAGAATGGCAACAACGCTTCTTGTAAGTGGGATGTTGGGGGTCGAAGGGACGCTCTTTTGGAGGGACGCGGGCCGAGTTAATATTCTCGGGGCGAGCCACAAAAGAGTCCCTCCAACGGAAAGTCCGCACACCTCGGATGGTGGACTGTTGGACTTTCAGACGGTGTTTTTTTTCTTGGTCCAGTGACTGTCTCTCGCCTCACCTCGCCCTGCAGTGCAGCGCAGCGACTCCCGGGGATGGGGGAGATTCGATGACACTAACACCGGGCGCTGCAGGCTGCTAAGGTACTGCGTAGCAGGTGGACTTAAGGGGAGATAAGGCGATGGATGGGCCGTTGGGTGGTGTGCTCCAGCGCGCTATTGGTGAGGCTGGTGCCGTGCGCCGCGTGGCTCTAGGGGTGGAAGTTGGTCCGCGTCCGCTATCTCCCGTCGGGTGGTGCCAATTGGATGGTGGATAGTCGAAACGCAATTGGAATGCGCGCACGCGACAATTGGTCGTCCGTTTGTAGGTGTCCGTACCTAGGCTCCAGCGCGGGACCGCGGCTGCGGATGACTGTGGATGCTCGGCTCCGGCCTGTAAGGCAACACTGAAATGTGACGGAATGGCGTGGGATCGATCTCCTTGGGTTGGGTGACTTTCTCTTTGCAGGTCGCCTGCAAGATCAGGTCGGGTTCTTGAGGCGAACCTCAGTCCGGGGAGTCGGTCTGACGGACTCGAAGAGCTAGCAATACTGAGTGCTGACGGTGTTAGTCGATAGGGCTGGAGCAGCTACAGCTGGTCAACGATGGAGTCGTGCTGCTGGGATCCCCTGTGTTCAATCGCATTCAAGCAGCAGAAGGTTGATGTCTGTCTTGACATCGGAATAGTCAAGTTTGTGCCAAAATCACCGAAATATCGAGGTTTCTATTCCTCTCTCAATAACTCTCCAATCTGTTCAATGGCAGGGTGCGAGTGCTTTATTTATAGGGGCCCCCCATTCGAGATGGAAACTCGCAGAAGCCCAGATACCCCTCTGCGCGGGCGTAGGTCCGATCTACATCGTAGATAACGATTTCTCGATAGATGATGGAAGCTGTTCGTCACTCTCAGTAAACCCCCGTTCACCGCCATGGGTTTCTACCCAACCGTTGCGCCGCGATAGGAAAGTCCATCCTCGAGACCAGGGCTGCCCAGCTTGTGCTCGACGGCTTGGTGCCACTAGCACCCGCCGGGGCTGAGATACCGGACAGCCGTTATCAACGACGGGTAGATGATGGGCTTCGCACTTGCTTCGTTCGAATCAGTGTTGCGGCACCCAGCTCAGTGAGAATATGAATGGCCCGCAAGAAGGGAGAAGAAGCAATGGAGCACAGGCAGGGGGCTTCGGTCACATGCCAACCTGCGCGTCGCACAAGATTGTCATTGTGCTTGCTTGGGCGCCGTCAAGATAAGAAGAGTGCGGTGGCACAGGTGTCTTGGATGTCGAGCGGCCGGAGCAGGAAGCCAAGATTGAGCAGACCGGAGTCGAGAAGGGAAAGAGATTGGCCATGGCGCTAGATACGTCCGATGGCGTCCATGTCGGCCCTCATCTGCCATGTCTGTGTGCTTCCCTTCCAGACTGGACATGAGACGGTAGACGAAATAGAGTTCGCGTGCCTGGATCTCCCGCGATAAGACTTTCAAGGGGATATCGACCTACCACCCCTTGAATCACATCAATATTGCGGAGAATGAGGGAAGGACGACGTTCGTGTGCACCACATCAATTAACACGCATTTGACGCAGCACGAGGTGATGTGGAAGTGCGAAGCTGCTTTCCATTTCTGACGATGGCCGTTGACGGAAAATGGAAGAAGCAAGAAAACTGAGAGATCAAGAGATGACCGGCAGATCATGACTCAGCCCGACGGTCCATCTCCACGGTAATGAGCTAAAGAAGAAGGCAAATGACGAAGAAGGACGACTGGCCTCCTGACTCTGCAGTCTTTCCAAAAGAACACAATGTCTACCCTCTCGGAAGCACGCAGTTGACGCTATTGGGACTCATTCCGCCGGACGTTGGAATGTTCGAAGCTGCAAGGTGGTGGCTTCTGGACCGCCGCCAGCCACTTCCCTGTACGGTTCGCACAGCCACCACCCATGTAATACGGAGCCAAAGTTAGAGTCTTACATAAGCTTAGAAGACGCTCGGAGCCTCTCTTCATCCCAACTCCGACCGCATTTGAGACACATCAACCATCTGTGACACTGTCCCAAACCCTTCCACCTTTATGCCATGAACGTTTCCGATGTCCTGGTGTGGCCGCCCCCCTTTTGAAAAAACGCTGAACGGTTGATGGTCACCCAATCTTGCCAATCTCGCTTCATTCCTGTGTCAGCCTCGCCCTGGCCATCTCTAGACACTAGCCCGTGGCTCCCCGAATTCTCCGACTGCGACGCTGCCACTGCAGAGACTGGTCCGGCTGCGGTTTTGGCTATGAGATCGTCGGTCCGCTCCCCCGGATCTTCGAGGCCTTAATCGGCTCACGCACATACGAATACAATCTCACTCATTTTGGCTCCATCTCCCTTACAACCGCCTCTGCATTGCATTGCTCTGGAACTTGGTACCTCCCGCCAGTCTAGGCCCAAAGCTCACGCCGTTTCCGTTCCTCTCACCGCACCACACCTCACCGCACCTCACTTGGAGCTCTTGCCTCAAGTAGATGTCGACACTAGGGAGGCAAGGTCCTTCCACACAAGTCCACGATACCTTCTGTTTGTTGTGTTCGTCGTCCTCAGTACGTCAGCTGCAACAGCAAGAGCCGCCAAGCTGCTCCTGCTCTTGACCGCCACGTCACGGTCTCTTCGCGCTAGCCTCTTGTACTTCTATTCCCGTTGAAAGAAAAGATTCCTGTCACAATGTCCTTTGTCGACCTCAAACACATCCCCTGTCCCGCCGGAGACAAGTGTACTGCATTCCAGTGCCTCTTCCAGCATAAAGAAGACAGGGATAAGATGGCTGCCACATCAGCACCGGCACTCAAAAAGTCAGGAACGTCGGCCCAGACGTCGACTGATGCCTCGACGAATGCAACCCAGGATGGCCCTCGAAAACGTCCGAAAGTTGCCCAAGACGTCAGCGGCCCCGCCGTCTCTGCAAGAACTCCTACTCCTGTCAAAACCGCCTCAAAACAAGACACAACGGCACCGAGACCAGATGACACTCTGTCAGCTGTCGCTCGCCCCATCTCTCCTCCACCTTTAAATCGCCAGACCGCCTCTTCCTCCAGGCCTGTCTCAGCTGTGAAGAAGGGCACTCATCTTCACCCTGCTGTCCCTTCTCTCGCTTCAACTCCTTCGTCTCATCCCAACAACTCATTGAATCACTCAAAGTCCTCTCCTTTATCTTCGAGTAATCACCCACCTAAGCGGAAGCTTGACTCACTTACTGGCAACACCCCAACTACTACTACTGGCACGTCTGCCTCCACCCCAAAGTCAAAAGCAACTTCAGTCTCACACGACACCACTACTACTTCTACCTCACCTCACACTCCTTCAACCCCATCCAAGGAGCCGCCACCCAAGCTCAGAAAACCTGAAGCTCTCAACCCTCGCTTGCTCAAAGGCATCAAAGCTCCAGCGGAGTTCAAGACTCGCTTCAGGCTAGCGCAGTTGCTACACCAAGAGTATACTCGCCTCAACAACGAACTTAAGAAAACCGCAAAAGACGACGACGAGAAGCAGCTCGTCCTCACGGACCAAGACCTTATCTGGAGAACCCTCGACGAAGAGGAGAACACCGCCATCGAGAAGAACGCCATCTACGGAAACGTTCTCAAAAACAAAATCATGCAGTACAAGAAGATGACGCTGCTGCAGTGGAAGGAGGAGAGAGTCGTCCAGCGTCGCCAGCAAAGCCCAAAGGGCCCCCACAAGAAACTTCTCGCCTCGCCCAAGAAGGTGGTCACGGGTTTGACGCCGGCCCAGGAAGTCCAGCTCGTCCGTCATCTCATCACCCCCATTGACGGCCTCGCCAACCACGGTTACGTCTCCTCCATCCCCAGTGAAGCAGACGTCGAGAAGGCCCGCCAGGGTCTCGAAGCCGCCAAGGGCTGGGAAAAATGCGATCGCTGTGAGAAACGTTTCCAGATGTTCCCCGGCAGACGCGAGGAAGACGGCGCGCTCGCCTCGGGCGGCAAGTGCACCTACCACTGGGGCAAGACGTACTTCCCCGAGCGCCAACTCGGCGACAGATCCAAGACTCCCAAGCGGTACCGCTGCTGCGGTCAGGCTGTTGGAGACTCGGCCGGCTGCTACACCGTCCCTCACCACGTCTTCAAGGCCTCAGACCCCAAGCGCCTTGCCACCGTCCTCAACTTCGCCGAGACGCCCGCCAACCCCAATGTTCCCTCTGACAGAGCCGTCGCCTTCGACTGCGAGATGTGCTACACTGTCTATGGCCTGGAGTTGGTGCGTCTCACCGCCACTGCCTGGCCTACCGGTGAAGAACTTTTGGATGTGCTCGTGCAACCTGTCGGTGAGATCCTGGATCTCAACTCGCGCTATTCCGGGGTTTGGCCTGAGGACATGGCTAATGCAGCACCCTGGTCCGCCAAGGAAGAGGACCCCACTCCCGCCCAGGCCAAGAAAATGGCCAACAACAACAACAACAACAACAACAACAACAACAAGAAGCCCAAGAAGACGATGAAGATTGCCTCCTCCCCCTTGGTCGCCCGCGACCTCCTCTTCTCCCTCATCAGCCCCGACACACCTCTCATCGGCCACGGCCTGGAGAACGATCTGAATGCCGTCAGAATCGTTCACCCCACTCTCATCGACACCGTCCTTCTCTTCCCCCACAAGTACGGCCTCCCCTACCGCCAGGGTCTAAAGATGCTCATGGAGAACCTCCTGAACCGCAAGATCCAAGTAGAGACAGCCGGCAAGGTCCAGGGCCACGACAGTGCAGAAGATGCCCGCGCTGCTGGCGACCTGGTCCGCCTCAAGCTGTCAGAAGAGTGGAAGAGCATGAAGATCAAGGGCTGGAAGCTCGTGAATAACGAGTTCGTCGCGCCCGGCGGAAAGGCTAGTAGGGACGACTACCGCGGCCAGCTCACGGCAGAATTCTTGGAGGCCGCTCTCTAGGAAGGGGCGGGCAACCTGTATTATGACGACTAACTGGGCTTTGGTTTTTATTTGGAGTTTCGGAAGGGAAGGGAATCCCGTATGCATTGGGAGGGCGTGGATTTGCTTAGTGATACCTACCCGTAAAGAGGGCATTCTAATAATAATTCGCACTTTATGAGTTCAACTACTGTTCCAATTGTGACCTTCACTTGACTCTTGAATAAATCTTGCTGTATGTATTTTCACTTCGCTCAGCTCGATGTAAGACTTCCTGAACAAGGAAAATTGAGACTTTCCCAGTATTCTGCCATTTGTTGTTGATTTCAAAGCCTCCCGCTCGCATCCGCCCATCACCCTCAAATCCTGAATCTGTTATTTGGCGACGCACAACGCCTACATGGATTCTGCCCCTCATCGTTTCCGTGCAGTTGTTTCTGCAATACTCCACCACCGACTCAGGGCAGAACTCGTGGAGCGTACCTCATTTGAATTGGCCGGCCCACCAACTATGTCTAGCAGTGTTCTTGAGATTGCTCCGACATGCGCCCCAGCAGTGCAGAACGCTCTTTTGCCTGAGCGTGACGAAGGACGCGAGAGAATTGCCTGGAGAAGACCTCCCCGTCTGGGAACTTTGGATTGTGTATTTATATTGTGCTTCTCCGATGAGAAACGTCACTTCCGAGGCCAAGACTCATTAATACAAAGAAGCAGGAGCAGCAACACCTACTTCTTCCTGGTCCGGTTTTTCTTTTGTGCTTGGTGAGTCTCTGCGCTTTGTTATAAATTGTGCTGCTTCTGTGTTGTAAATGGCCTCTTGCGCGCACACATTCAAGCACTAATGTCGAGACGTGCTGTTGGTTCATCTCCTAGACGATTACTATGACCCATGGCGGGTTGATGAGTCTGGAAAGTTGTCTAGCAGATAGATGTCTATTGTTTCTGATGTGTCATCTTCTTCCCCCTGGCCATCGGTGTTTTTCTGCTATTCTGCCTGAGTATGTAGCTGTGGTATTAAATACAATAGAGGAGACGAGGGAAGACGCTCAAGGCTTGGCGTAGACTGTCTGAAATCAGGTTTCTACAACATCTCTTGGATGCGATCATTCTGGGAGAAGGGAATATCTTTCACCATTGTCACAAGCCTCAAAGCAAGTTGTGGCTGTGTTATTGGGTATGGAGAGGAAGCAATATCATATATCTCAGTTTGTTATATACTCACTCAACTCCTAGTAATGAAGAAACGGTCGATGCCTATTCCCCTAGCATTCGTCTCCATTGATGTCATACTGAGTACGGCGTAGAAACAGTTGTGACCGGTACATTATTACATCCTGCGTATAGCATGTTAAATGCTCCTCACAGAACCGGCCACGCGAATAAAGCTTGTTCTTTTGTATGCTGGTGCCCTCTCACTTCTCAGTCACGCCTCCGTCTCATCAGATCCTCCCTGAATAACTCCGTCTCGTCTGGAAAGATTCCAATTCATCGCTGTTCTCCATTCTCGTCAGAGTATTCCTCAAGACCATAGCCTGTGGCGCATGGAAGGATGCGCGTGTCTCTTGTCCTTGTCGCGCAACTCAAACAGGCCTTTGAATATTTGAATTTGATGGCCCAGGAAACGCCACAACGAAGCTGGAGTCACATTGCTGATTTCATTAGTTCCACCCGCCAGAAGACAATTTATACTGCCCCCCGCTATTTCGCCGTGGGCATCAGGCTTCTTCCACTGAAGAAATGTCATTGGAGCATACGGCCATGTAATTCCTTGGTGGATGCATATAGCTTGACAAGGAAGCTTTTGCTATAAATACAGCTAATAGACCCGATTTCTTTAACATCAGGCAAAACATAATATATTCGCTCTATCGGGCAGTGTACGGTTGCAAGCAGCCGCATGTCAAGGCCAACCACCACTCAGCGAGAATACCTATCCTTCCATGGATCAAGTCGAGCATTTCTTAGATAACAACAATGTCGTCCTTGACTAGGATCAGGTGATTCGCCATGCAAGGGTGGCTATTCTCATCCAGTCACCCCCAGCAGGACGGTTTTCTATCTACACTGCCGGGGGCTCAAAAGCCTCGATGATTTTTAGGACAGAGACTTTTCTCATTGGTCCTGAGACTATTTACAGGCAATCCGTTCATTTGTTCTGTTGTAAGAGACTTTCACCGCGTTTGAAAGTACATTTATAGAGGACATCTTTGGACTTTGCCGTCCGGCTCAATGACAAGATCGTCGCGGGTCTCGGCAGACACCCATATTAACTTTGGTAACCATCTATACGCCTGAGAACTGTGAATGGAATTGTTCTATGTGATGATCTCTTACTGTTCTGTTCGTTTGACGAGAGTGTGGCTGTGGATCTTGCTGGAAATTGGTCTATATAGAGGTGGTCAAGACTAGCGAAAGGGCTTGAATATTCAGCAGAATCGAAGCTGTCGACAGAAATTTGCCTTGGTGAGGTTGAACAACTGATGCTTCAGAGATGCTGAGTGGGAAATGCGATGGCTGGCTTTCTATCCAGCTGACGATGCAACGATCAGTATACTGCGCGCAGAATACACGTACACTGACGAAATGAGACAGAGACGGATAATGAGCACCCGAAAGTGCGGGTGAAACCATAACTTCTTCGGACATGGTACTGGATGTGAATTCTCCCGCCCAATGTTGAGTCCTTTGGCTTTGCAGAACCAGTTCTCTTTTCCTGTCTTATTGCGTTGTTGGCTCCTCCAGCTGTATCTCTAGGGGGCAGAGAGACTCTTATATACTTTCTAGCCATACACCTAGCCACGTCATTCCTGGTTCAATTATCTTTGAGTACCTTCTCGGGAAGGTGAAGGGGACTCAGCAGGTACAGTGGGGGTTGCGTGGACTTACTCATGGTGAATACCACTGTTAAGGATGAACTCGGTCACAGTACTTACAAACTCTACCAAAACGTAAATGGAGGAAGGACTCCAAGACCAATGTTCGTGGCTCCAGTCGCGTGTTAGCCTACCGGGAAGTAAGTAGTCGATCCGTCAGTTCATCGATTCATCCTGCTCTCTTGGCAGCTGCGTTGTTGGGCGATCAACAGACCACTGAATACGCAAGAGGTTATGCTGACTATCAGGAGTCAAGGACGCCAAGGAACAAAGAGATTGACGTATAGAAGGTAGGATTCGTGATTGTGTTTCTCGCCTTAGGCCAGGGAGTTGTACCAATGTCTCATGAGAAATGCATCTTTCGGCATATTTTCGATGCCAGCACATCTTGCTGAAATGTAAGTGGAAGGCCGATAGCAGTTTTCACATACCAAGAGCGGCCAAAAGCCCATTTGCTTCTTATGTGTAACTGCAGGTTTTGAATAATAATTTGAGAAGCGCGAATGCTCAATCGAATCCTACCGATGGATGATTTCTTACGTAATGTCAGTTGGCCCATCTGCTGTCATAAATTGGTAACAGAGCGCCTCGATACTCTCAATGTGGTACCCGTTGGCGTATGTACGCATATAGGATAACAACTAGATAGAGGCGATGGACAGATCTTTGTCATCCCAAACATGGGAAGGAATGCTACAAGTGAAAAAGATATCTACTGCGCCCCAGGGATAAGAAACGCTGAAGCTTTCTTCGCAGCTCGCAGTGGACCTCGCACAACCGGCAATTCGAGTCTAATTGTGCTCGCCTACTCTCTGCTTAGGTTTCTGTGTGGAGCCCCAGCTATGTAGGCCGACGAATTTCGTCATGCTCTCAGCTAACCCAAGGTGGCATAGCCGACGTTGGCTCACCAAAGTTGATGAACACACGCGGTGCCCATTAGCCCGCGAATATGTGTATGTTGCTGAGAGTAATCAAGGCTGGATGCTAATTCAGCAAAACCTACGTTGTGGCCAAATCATGGCTTCGCGCGGAAGAGAGCATATGCGACGGACCTGCAGGAGCCTATCACCCTGTGGAGGCACGACCCGGAGCGCTGTTCGAGCTCGTCTTAGGTGGTTTCCGGCAGTCGTGGTGCTGCCCAGAGAAACAAGCCCACGTAGATAACGAACGTAACCTCACGGCCACTTGGAAAACTCCTTTCGGCCATTGATCACTCTTGTCACATAAGGCTTCATTGCTTGTCCTCCTCACATGCACGCCAGTATCCTTGGTTGAGTTGCATAGTTGAACAGGAGGCAAGTTTCATGCCCTATGATTACACTTATTGAAGCGGTGACTTGCCTTCAAAGTCTATAGTACAGCATCGCCATTTTCCTTTTCATCCTCATCTCATAAACCTTTACGGACGTCCAACGTTCAACAGCATCTGGCTACCCTTTCCGCTGCTGGGCAAGTACGCAACGTTGGGGTTACCGGACAAAGTAGAGGCAATCTCTCTGCTGGCCTCAATCTTTCTGATCTGGATGAGACCGTCGCCTGACTTGGAGATGGCTTTGGAGATGGTGTCGGCACTCTCGGCCTCACCCTCGGCGCGGATGACGTTGGCCTGGCGCTCCTGCTCGGCCTTCTCGACGATGAAGCGCGCACGCTCGGCGTCCTGCTGGGCAATCTGCTTCTGCTCGACGGCCTTGGTGAACTCCTTGCCGAAGGTCATGTGGGTGATGGAGACATCCTCGAGGGCGATGTTGAACTCAGCGGCGCGCTTGGTCAGGTCGGAGCGGATGCGGTTGGAGACGGCCTCACGCTGAGTGATGAGCTCTGCGGCGTCGAACTGGGCGACGATGGACTTGAGGACTTCGTTGCCGATGGAGGGGAGAACCCTCTCGTCGTAGTCTTGGCCGAGGTTCTGCGCGAGTGGTCAGATGTTGGTTCATTCTAGACGCTGCAGAAAACGAGAACCTACCTGGTAGATCTTGGGGAGGTTCTGGACCTCAGGGCGGTGCAGAACACGCAGGGTCAAGCTGACCATCTGGAGATCCTTGCTGCCCGTTGTCGTGGCGATGTTCCTGGGCTTCGTCCTCACGTCGAAGATGATGCTCCTCTGCAGCCACGGCACAAGAAAATGCGTGCCCTCGCTGATGACTCCCTCCTTGACACCCGCTAATCTGTCGAAGATAACGGCTCTGTTTCCACCCCTGACGTCGTAGATTGAAGATTGCAGCACAGCGACGCCGATCGCCGCGGGGACCGCCATGCGGTACGCAAAACCCAGAGCCTGAGCCATGGTGAATTTCTCTGGTGGTTCGGATGCTGAAGAGACGGGGTATCGAGGGTCGCGAGATTGCTCTTGCGAAATTCGCGGGCTATCCGGTTGGCGTTGAGGGGTGGTTGTTGGTGGCTGCGGTGCAAGAGCAGGTGGGATTGAAGCTGTCGAAAGCTCCTCAGGCCGCCGCGGTAAGGTCCGTCATTGAATTTTGGGCGGGCGGCTGTTAAAGCCGACCGGGGTCATCTGGGTGGGTAGGTGCAATTGCTCTACCAACTGGTGACGGAAAGAAAGTCGCAAAAGGCGCTAAGCCTCTTTCGGGTGTGCGCCTCAGCGTTCGGGTTCGGCAGGAAGGGGACAAGATTTGAACCTCGTCTGATTTGACTCTGCGATTTCCAGCTTGACTGAACGACCCTCAACACCCGGTTGCACATCACCGTCCACCACAACCATCCGCCAAGATGAGACCTACCCAAGCTCTTGCCTCGGGACCCAGCATCCCCCACGGAAAGTACAGCCAGTAAGTAGACGCCTGAATCCCAAGTCAATTGAGTCGACAGCGCCTTGCGGGCTTTTCCGATGTGGAAGCGAGATGCTTCCCTCTGTCCGCCCCGACGCGCAACGTCCTCAATTACATTGTTGATGCAGCTCGCTAACTTAGCTCTTAGCCACCTCGGCTGGTGGGGTCACATTGGTACGTTTGTTCCCGAATTCTGCGATGGCGAAGGACGACAGCGACATGGTCGAGCGATGCATGAATGATGGGACATGGGAGTCGAAGTGGAAGATGATGGGGAAGTGGACAACGATGAAGATTGCCGACCAAACGATGCGCGACGCAAACGATAATCTGGCAGGAACACGTAATTGACAGTGTGCAGGTGGCGAGAAGCAGAGAGGCATCATCACCTACGGTCTTGCCCCTAACCGCCAGAACCCCTTCGCCGGTGCCGCCCACGATGCCGTCTTCAACACCTGGCGCCGCTTCAGCGCCCAGGTCCTCTACTTCCTGCCTCCCCTTGTTGCCGGCTGGTACATCATGGACTGGGCCACCCACCGGTAGGTCACCCTGCAGCCTCCCCGATGAGGCTCCGTAGACATTGAAGGAGCGCCTTTCGACTAACACTCGCCACAGCAACCACTACCTGAACTCCAAGCAGGGCCGCGCCGAGTTCGGTGACTCTGAGGAGTAAACAAGTTTACTCGATGACGGCGGACGACGAAAGCTAGAGGTGGACCAACGATTCCCTGTGTCAAACACGTGTATATCAACTACGTAGAGGGGGAGAAATGGAATAGAACCCCAATTTTTGACGACTTACATTCAATTCATCTCTTGCTGACACTGACTATGGCGTTTATTGCTGGTTTGATCTTCATATGCGCATGTGGCGAAGGAATGCATGTGTCATTGAATATTTTGGACAAGGTCCGATAAGTACAATCCCCAAAGGAACACCGATGAATCTGCCAATATCGCTGTAGCTGCGATTATTCATAGCACTGAAAATTGGTATACAAATCTCCACGCGCAATCGTACCCGATGATACCAAAGAAGTACCTTCAACTGTTCTTCAGTCACTTTCGCGCTGACATTTGCGGAATGCACAGCCGCTGATTGGCCACTGCAGGTCACGTGCATTGAACATCTCACCGAAGCCTGCCGCAAGGTAAGGCCTCGGCACGGAGTTACTATGCGCCGCCAATTCGTAGTGCCCCACTGAAAAAAAGTTCAGCAACCCATTGAGTTGCAAAGAAAAAAAAAGTCGAGTCTCGTCGGTTCCAGCGAAGCTTCACCCAACACGTCGCCAACCCACAACCTCTCTCTCCCCCTTCCAACCCTTCAATCCTCCACCACAAACCGTCACAATGGCCGCCGAGAAGCCCGAGAAGAAGGAGAAGAAGGACAAGAAGCGATCCGTGTCCGACGGAGGCGTCAAGAAGGACAAGAAGGATAAGAAGGATAAGAAGGACAAGAAGGAGAAGCTCGAGCGCGCCCTCGACGAGCACCTCCAGGCCGACGTCGCCGCCACCGCCGTCGCCTCCGGCGATGTCTCCTCCAAGACCGCCGACGGCCTCCCCGTCGTCGGCGCCCTGGTGCCCTTCGCCGTGCCATTGGCCGACGAGAAGAACATGAAGAAGGTCATGAAGTCCATCCGCAAGGGTACGTTTTCCCCCACACCGCGTCGCGCTTCGAGGTCAATTGGGCCACACAAACGTTCCGGCATACTAACTATCCCATTCCAGCCGCCAAGAACAACACCCTCAAGCGCGGCGTCAAGGAGGTCGTCAAGACCCTCCGCAAGTCTCCCGCCTCCGGGCCCAGCAACACCGCCTTCCCGGGCGTCGTCATCATCGCCGGCGACATCTCCCCCATGGACGTCATCTCCCACATCCCCGTGCTCTGCGAGGACCACAACGTGCCCTACATCTTCGTCACCTCGCGCGCCGAGCTCGGCGCCGCCGCCAAGACGAAGCGCCCGACTTCCGTCGTCATGGTCACCGAGAAGCGCTCCGCCGCCGACGCCAAGAAGGCCGAGAAGAAGTCCGCCGGCGACGATGCCGAGGAGGATGACGGCGAGGACTACTCCGAGGTCTACTCCGCCCTGGTCAAGCTCGTGCAGAAGGAGACGGCCAAGCAGTCTTTCTGGTCCTAAGCTACTGATACCAGGGCTTGTGGTCGGATTTTGAGGGGACATGCAGTCTGTGTGTGTTGGCGTGATGCGCATGATACCCTGCATGGGCGAGTGAGGTTGTGTTATAAAAATTAGGTACGAGAGACGTCCCTTCGAGAGTGTGGGTGTGCGTTCGGGGTCCACGATTACAAAACGGCTTTATGCGGGTTGTACCACCATCACCTGAACCTTGCGGCGCGGACATATGGGAACTTGAATTTTCTCCTGGATGGCACAAAAGCAAAAGATGCCCGGCGTTCTAACGGATTATCTGCATGAGTATGGTTGACTACTCACCAATAAACGATTTTCAAATCATCAAAGCCTTCGTTGGAACCGTCAGGGTGCGAAGGTGTGGAGGAAACCCTTGCAGTGCTTCTCAGAGTGAGGGCACTGTCTTTCGTGATGCTGTGAAGGCGTCATGTTCTCGCGAATGGTGCTCGGCCCAAGCTGCTTGACTTTGGAGCGAAGCTTAAGCCCAGCCAATGTCACCGTCCAGAGCAAGCGTCGTGACATGTGGAAATGCTATACGTCCATCAACATCTCCCCTCCTAGGTGAATTTTCTTGACATAGCTCTCCCGCTCAGTTGTTGCAATGTCACGATGTTCACGGATATTGCAACCCATTTCAAGTTGACAGCGACAAGTATTTTGAACCTTTTTTAATTAGGGGAATCATGGCTTGAGCAGCAAGTGTACATGGCAAAGTGGTTCCCGGTCGAGGCTACCGACTTCTCTTCAAACTCCATGACCGCAACCCATCCAACCCAACAAGCTAATAGCACACGAGAGTCTGCTCCAGACTCTCCATTTCATTTCATTACATTAGAGGAGACGAAACCCTTTAGTCGAAGGGGTTGGTGCGGGTTCCCCACCAGGTGAGGAAGACAGACAGACCGATGGTCTCAATGACCTTAGCGAGGGCGCTGACACCGACGGTGTCAAGAGGACGCTTCTCGGCGAAGACCTGGGAGATGTACTGTGCGCAAGCGTGTCAGTCATCGACACAACAAAGGCAAAATGCTAGGAAGAGGAACTTACGCCGGGAGCAGAGGTAGCGAAGAAGATCAGACTGCCGAGGTAGGCGGCGCCCTTGTAGGAGAGCGTGCCGGTGGCGTTGATAAGGGCGCCGACTCCGTAGGACTGGAGGGCGGAGCCGACGAGGGAGGTGCCCCAGGCGACGGCGGCGGAGCTGGCCTCCTTGGAGCGGAGGAACTCCTCCTTGCTGTTGGCGGCCTTGGCGCGCTGGTAGGTCTGGCCGAAGAGGGGGGTCAAGACTGTTGCGAGCGAGCTCTGGTCAGCTGATGTGATCGAATGGTGTGATTTGGAGGCCAGGAGAAAGGTATCACGTACCAGCGAGCTCAGTGGTGTGGTTGAAGATGGTGCCGAGGGCGATGGCCGAAGGCTTGACGGGGGGAAGGTCTGTTGAGCAGTTGATATTAGCAACCTGTTGAATCTATTCGTTTCTGTCAAGCTGCCTTGATCCACGATGACGACATATCGGCGTTCTTTCGACATTGAGGCACAAGCTTGACCTTTTCTTCCAATCTAGGGAGGCAACACTTACAGTGCAAAGACATGATGGCGGTGTTTTGGGTATCTTTTGATGAAACTGGAAAACTCAAGTTCGATTGGGCTGGGAGAGAGATGTAAATAGAGACTTGTGGCCAGAGAGGCGGGACAGGACTGGCTTTTATGTGCCAAAGGGGTGGTGTGTGGAAGGCAGGTGGTGCAAGGCACCGCAACGTTAGTGTGAGCTAGCTGTGACCTCAGCTCCTGCACGCAAGTGGGAAAGTACCAGAAACCTCAAAGCCAAGGCCAAGCTCAACCACAATCCCGCCCCCTGGAGGGCGAAACAGAGCTAGCTATTGAGGTAATGGGTGACCAAGGTACAAGAACCGCCTAGGCGACGCGGGCCCCGTCGAGGAGATCGAAGTCTCGTTCCCTCATCGACGAAGTGTAAGACTACCTCAGCCAAGGGCTAACAGGAGCTACGCGCACTAAAAGCATAGCTGGGCGAAAGGTACAAGCAGGGGGTGGGGGGCGCTTCTCGTCCAAATGGAATAAGACGTGACGAGAGACGTGCCGTAGCTTCTCCTACCGCCTGCCTGCCTGCCTGCTTGTTTTTCCTGCCCTGCTGCTGCATGATTGTGTCCCGACTACCAGTCCAGACCAGGCCAAATCTCTTTTCCCACCCTGCCATTTTCCCCTTCCACAGCAGCTTTCCGCCCCCAGCCAGCCGCAATTGGGAACTGTTGGCCCAGCGAAGCACCTGAGGCCGTGGTGTCGTCACCTGTGCCATGATGTCACCACCCTGGCTCCCCCGCCAAACCCACACCCGACCC